TGTTATTTTAGAAAGCTGTACATGAGAAAAAAAGTGGTCTTTTAAAAATTATTTATTCTAATTTGTTATACATGACAGCAGAATGCATTTCAATTTATATTACACATATAGAGCACAATTTGTCATGTCTCTGGTTGTTCACAGAGTCAAACCATTCATGTCTTCATACATATACTTAGGGTAATGATGTCCATCTCATTCCAAAATCTTTCTTACTCCCATGCCCCCTCCCTTACCCTCTCCCCCCTTTACCCCCCTATCTAAAGTTCCTGCATTCCTCCCATGCTCTGCCCCACCTCCATTATGAATCAGCTCCCACATATCAGAGAAAACATTTGACAATTTTTTTTTGTGATTGGCTTACTTCACTTAGCATAATATTCTTTAATTCCATTCATTTACCTGCAAATGCTGTGATTTTGTTCTCTTTTAATGCTGAGTAACATACCATTGTGTATATATACCACAGTTTCTTTATCCATTCATCTACTGAAGTGCATCTAGGGTGGTTCCAAAATTTAGCTATTATGAATTGTGCTGCTATAAACATTGATGTGGCTGTGTCCCTGTAGTATGCTGTTTTTAAGTCCTTTGGTTATAGACTGAGGAGTGTGAAAGCTAGGTCAACAATGTATGCGTATACCTTTTCTCCCATATCCTCTTGAACACTTATTGTTGTTTGTATTCTTAATAGCTGTCATTCTAACTGGAGTGAGATAAAATCTTAGAGTGGTTTTGATTTGCATTTCACTAATTGCTAGAGATATTGAACATTTTTTCATACATTTGTTGATTGATTGCATGTCATCTTCTGAGAAGGTATCTCTTCAGTTCCTTGGCGCATTTATTGATTGGGTTATTATTATTATTTTTTTTTTTGGTGTTAGAATTTTTGAGTTCTTTATATATCCTAGAGATTAGTGCTCTATCTGATGTGCGAGTGGTAAAAATTTGCTCCCATTCTGCAGGCTCACCTCACTGATTGTTTCTCTTGCTGAGAATAAGCTTTTCAGTTTGAATTCAACCCATTTATTGATTCTTGATTTTAATACTTCCATTGTAAGAGTCTTACTAAGAAATTTGGGGCCCCATCCAACATTATGAAGATTTGGGCTTAATTTTTCATCTATCAGGCACAAGATCTCTGGCTTAATTCCTAGATCCTTGAACCACTTTGATTTGAGTTTTGTGCATGGTGAGAGATAGGGGCTTAATTTCATTTAGCTGCATATTGATTTCCATTTTTCCCAGCACTATTTGTTGAAGAGGCTATCCTTTCTCCAGTATATGCTTTTGGAGCCTTTCTGCAATATATGTTTTGATATAACTATTTATGTGAGTTTGTCTCTGTGTCTTCTAATCTGCATCTTTGGTTTACAAGTCTATTTTGTTGCCAATACCATTTTTTTCCACTATTGCTCAGTATAGTTTAAGGTATGGTATAGTGATGCCAACTGCTTCACTCTTCTTGCTAAGGATTGCTTTGGCTATCCTGGGTCTCTTATTTTTCCAGATGAATTTCATGCTTTTTCTATTTTCATGAGGAAAGTCTTTGAGATTTTGATTGGGATTGCATTAAATCTGTTCAGTGCTTCTGATAGTATGGTCATTTTGACAATATTAATTCTGCTCATCCAAGAACAAGGGCAATCTTTCCATCTTCTAAGGCCTTTTTAAATTTATTTCTTTAGCATTCTATAGTTTTCATTGTAGAGGTCTTTTACTTCTTTCTTTCAGTTGGTTCCCAATTGTTTTTTTGTTTGTTTATTTGTTTTGTTTTGTTTTTAAAGCTTTTTTGTAAATGGGGTGGTTTTACAAGTTTCTCTTTCAGAGGATTTTTCACTGATGTACAGAAATAGCTATGATTTATGGGCATTGATTTTTATATCCTACTACTTTGCTGAATTCATTTATTGGTTCTATAAGTTTTCTGGTGGAATTTTTTTGGGTCCTCTAGGTATAGAATCATATTGACAGCATATAGTGATAGCTTGAGTTCTTCTTTTCCTATCCTTATCCCTTTGATTTCTTTTGTCTGTATAATTGCTCTGGCTAGTGTTTCAAGAACTATGTTAAATAGAAGTGGTGAACATGGGCATCCTTGTTGTGTTCCAGTTTTTAGAGGGAATGCTTCTAATTTTTCTCCATTTAGAATGATGTTGGCCTTGAGCTTAGCATAGGTAGCTCTTACAATGTTGATATATGCTCCTGTTATCCCAAGTTTTTCTAGTGTTTTGAACATGAAGGGGTGCTGTATTTTGTTGAATGTTTTTTTTCTGCATCTGTTGAGATGATCATATGATTTTTATCTTTAAGACTATTGATGTGATGAATTACATTCATTGATTTCTGTATGTTGAAAGAACCTTGTATTCCTGAGATAAACCCCACTTGATTGTGGTACATGATCTTTTTAATGTTTTTGTATTTAATTTACCAGGATTTTACTGAGAATTTTTGCATATATGTTCATTAGAGATATTTGTCTGAAGTTTTCTTTCTTTGATGTGTCTTTGGTTTTGGAATCAGTATGATATTGACCTCAATGAGTTTTGAAGTGTTCCCTCTTTTTCTGTTTCATAAAATAATTTAAGGAGTATTGGTACTAGTTCTTCTTTGAAGGTCTTGTAAAACTCCACTGTATATCACTCTGGTCCTGGGCTTTTCTTGGTTTTTAGGCTTCTGATGGTGTCTTCTGTTTAATTGCTTATAATTGATCTGTTTAACTTGAGTATATCATCCTGATTCTGTTTGTGCAGATTATATGACTTTAGAAATTTGTCAGTGCCTTCAAAATTTTCTTTTTTATTGGAGTGCAAATTTTCCAGATAATTTCTATTTATCTTCTGTATTTCTGCAGTGTCTATTGTGATATTTCCTTTTCCATCACAGATGTTAATAATTTGAGTTTTTTCTCTCCTTCTCTTCATTAGGATGTATAAGGGTTTATCAATTTTATTTACTTTTTCAAAGAACCAACTTTTTTGTTTTGTCAATTTTTCAATTTTTTCTTTTGTTTCAAATTCTTTGATTTCAAATCTGATTTTAATTATTTCCTGTCTTCTACTGCTTTTGGTGTTGATTTGTTCTTCTTTTAGGGCTTTGAGATATAATGTTAGGTCATTTATTTGTTGACTTTCTCTTCTTTTAAGGAATGTTCTCCCTGCAATGTAATTTCCTCTTAGTACTGTGTTCATAGTATCCCAGAGATTTCTAGTTGTATCTGTGTTCTCATTCACCTCTAAGAATTTTTTAATCTCCTCCTGGATGTCTTCTGCAACCCATTATTCATTCAGCAGCATATTATTTAGTCTCCAGGTGTTGGAGTAGCTTTTATTTATTATTTTATCATTGATTTCTAATTTCATTCCATTATAATATGAAGAATGAAGGGTAATATCTCTACTATTTGCTAAGAGTTGCTTTGTGGCTTAACATATGGTCTATTTTAGAGAAGGATCCTTGTGCTGCTGACAAGAAAGTGTGTTCACTTGTTGATGGATGAACTATATATATCAGTTAAGTCTAATTTATTGATTTTATTATTGAGTTCTATAGTTCCTTTGTTTAGCTTTGCTTATAAGATATATCTAGTGGTAAAATATGTGTGTTCAAATCACCCAGAATTATTTATTGTGGTCTATTTGACTCTTGAACTTGAGAAGAGTTTGTTTGATGAATGTAGATGCTCCATTTTTGGGGGGCAGATATATTTGTAATTGTTATGTCTTGTTGATGTATGCTTCCCTTAGGCAGTATAAAATGTCCTTCTTTATCCCTTCTGATTAACTTTGACTTGAAGTCTACTTTATTTGATAGATGGAAACCCCTACTTCTTTCCGCAGTCCATGTCATTGGTATTTTTTTTCCTAATCTTTCACCTTCAGTCTGTGGATGACTTTTCCTATGAGATGAGTCTCTTGAAGGCAGCATATTGTTGGGTCTTTTATTTAAAACTCCAATCTGCCAGTCTATGTCTTTTGATTGGTAAGTTTAGGCCATTAACATTCAGGGTTATTATTGAGACATGATTTATATTCCCGGTCATTTTTGTTTATTTTTGTTATTTCACTTGACTTGGTTTCTCTTTTGATTGTTTTCTCCTTTAGTGTAAGATCTCCCTTTGCTGATTTTTTTTTCATTTTCTCCTCATGGAAAATTTTGCCAAGGATGTTCTCTAGTACAGGCATTCTCATTGTAAGTTCTTTTAACTTTTGTTAATTATGGAATTTTTTATTTCATCATCAAAGCTTAATTTTGCTGGATATAATATTCTTGGTTGGCATCCATTTTCTCTCAGAGCTTATTATATGTTGTTCCAGGATCTTCTGCTTTCAGGGTCTAGTTTGAAAACCTGCAGACATCCTTATTGGTTTCCTCATATGTAATCTGATTCCTTTCTCTTCTGGTTTTTAAAATTCTATCCTTATTCTGTGTTCTATGCATTTTCATTATAATGTGTCTTGGTGTAGATCTGTTGTAATTTTGTACATTTGGCATACTCTAAGTCTCTTGTATTTTATTTTCCAATTCATTCTTCATGTTTGGGATTTTTTTGATATTATTTCATTAAAGAGATTATGCAGTCCTTTGATATGAATCTCTGTCCCTTCCTCTATCCCAATAACTCTTAGATTTGGTCTTTTGATGCTATCCAATAATTCTTGGATGTTCTGCTCATGGTTTCTTACCATCTTCACTGTGTGGTTATCTTTATTTTCCAGATTGTATATTTAGTTTTCATTGTCTGACATTCTGTCTTCCAATTGATCTAGTCTTCTGGTGATGCTTTCTATTGAGTTTTTTATTTTGTTTATTGTTTCAGTCATCTCAACAATTTCTTTTTTTTTTTTTTTCAGAAACTCTCTTTCTTGAAGTAGTGTTTTGCTGCCTGTATTTGCTCTCTTATCTCTTTGTTGGAGTGATCAATTTTTGCCTGTATTTGCTCACTTAGTTCATTATTTAACTCATAGATAATTTTATTTTATTATTTATTTTTTTGGCTCTTTTCAGTTTATTGCATGAAGGAGTTACACTAGTCCAAGTTAAAAGCGGACCCCAAATGGTTACATTATACAAGCTGTGAGATTTTTAAACTTGTGACAAGGGACAGAAGGGGAATTCTACTCATTGCAAGGAAATCCTCACTTAAGCTTCAGTGAGCCACAAGCACTTAAAACCCATGAACCTTCATCTGATCGTCCTTAGCCAGTCCAATCTCTACCAGGAACTGGCATATGTTCTTGTCCTGGTCACCCTGTACCTGAATTATTTCTCCATATTCTGGATGCTCAATTACAGTACCATTGCAGGCAAATTTCTTCTTAAACGCCTTCACTAGTTTCTTTTTATCGTAATCATCAGCGATCCCTTGGACAGTAGTAAGGGTCTTCCTGCCGTTTCTCTGTTGAATTCTTATATGGATATAATCCTCAGAGCCAGCAGGAAGCAGGTCATCACCCTTACTTGCATCAGCAAAGGGGTGGAAAGAGTGGAGGTTCTGGATAGCGGACATACTGTAGGATTCCTTTTCCTCGGTGGAAACGGCCTGCGGAAGGCAGCTGTGGGAAAAGGCAGGCGGTGGGGACTGAGCGTTGGGAAGCGAGGGGGCTCGAGGGGGAGGCTGCTGAGTCCTCCGCGGTGGCTCAGTGACTGGGGCCCATAGATCATTTTAATTATGTACATTTTGAATTCCTTCTCTGATATTTCACCAACTGTTTTGTCCATGGACTCTATTATTGTATCTTGGTTTGTTTGGGGGCACTTTCTTCCCTTGTTTTTTTTTTTTTTTTTTTTTTCATGTTGTCTATGTGTCTTCCTTTATTGCAGTGCAGATCTGAAATATTACTGTTTCTACCCTATCTTATAGTGTTCCTGCAGATTACCTGTACCTCACCTTGGTGATGGGCTTCTAGACCCTGGCTGGTATCCCATGATAAATGCTACTGCAACTAAAGGTGGTGGTGGCAAAACAGAAATAACTCAAGATAGCAGTGGGGGTGTCCCAAGATGGATGCAACCACTCTCAGAGATGGGGTTAAAAGGGTGGACTGCCTGTACTGAGATGCAGCTGCCTCCAGGCCTTATGTGTTGTTCCAAAGTGGAGGATCCTGCATGGGGAGGACTATGGCAATGGCTGCAGTGTCCCAAGATGGAGGCAGGATATGTCTGTGTTCTGGCGTGGGTCTGCTGGTTGGTGGGGCAGTCCTGGGCCATGAAGATAATAGTCTTAGCAGATCAAACCATGCTTCTTAGTGTTTCCCACCACACTGAGAGGTACTTTATGCACATTGAAAAAAACTCCTCAAACACTATCGAATTCATCTCATCTTGATCATGCTGATATACCAATATTAAAATAAATGCCTAATGGAAGTTTTTAACAGATTACATAGTAATTTCATTACCTAGATATTTCTAACTTTGGGCAAATGGCTGTATTTCTCTTCAGTCTAATAAGCCTGTCTAACATTATTGAGAGATCCAGTAATGAAAAATAATAATAATCAGTATCCATTGGATTTGGTGTCATGGGGTAGTTTGAAACCTTGACAAAAATTACTTTTGGTGACCTCATGGGAGCAATGACAAGAAAACAATCAATCTCTCTCTTCCTCTCTCCCTCTCTCGCTTGCTCTTCCCCATACACATAAACACACACACACACACACACAATTATAATATCCACTGGTGTGTGTACAGTATATTCAGATTTTTCCATTGTTTGCCAAACCTGATATATTTGTGACCAATACTTCTGAAATGACTTAATTCAAATTGGACTTTTGAATGTAAGTAGTGACTTATGTCAACAACTATTATATTTCCACAATCACTATTTTGTTTCCTTGGATTTAAAATAAGCAATGTAAATAATAAGTTATTTTTTATTTTGCTTAAGATACTTCACAATAATCCACTAACTATAAGACTAGGAAACTGGTCAAGTGGCACATGCATGTAATCCTAGCAATTTGGGAGGCTCAAGTAGGAGGATGGTAAGTATGAGGCCAGCTTCAGCAACTGAAGTCCTAAGAAAGCCACTGTCATAAAATTAAAAAATTTTAAAAAAGACTTGGGGATGTAGTGCAATGGTAAGGCATCCCTGAATCCAATCCTCAGTAACAAAAATAAATATATAAAAGACTAGTAAACTCATCATGTTCATTAAAGACACTAGTGAAGCTTGAATGACTAAGTCTTATGTGCAAATAATTTTAAAATTACTTTAAGGACAAAGTTAGCTTTTGTATACATTATTGAATCCATTTTTCTTTAATACAACTACACTAAAAATTAAAATTCTGGATTTATTGAATGCAATGAAGGATTTGGCCACAAAACAAATACTCATTTTTTAACAAGTATATCTGAGTTACATGAATTCTAAAATATGTGTCACCACCCTTCCACATACATTATTTATTCAAGTCATAGATTCTAAGATCATTCAACCAAGAAAATCAAGATTTATATAGTAGTTATAATTCATGTATGAACAACAGTGACCTCATGTGGCTAATGCTTTATGCCTGAAACTATGAGATTAATAACAGCAACAAAAAATAGTCTCTACTATACATCAAGACTTGTGTCATAGTGAAGGATTAGACCTGCCCATGTCTTGCAAAATGATTTTTTTTTCTAAGATTTCTGATCACAAAGGAAAGCAGTCTCTTTGAAGTACCCATATGGAGAAACTCTGTATACGATTATAAGGTTAGGTTATTCAAAGATTAATATTTTGGAATAAGGTGTCTTGAGGCTAGGGATCTAACCATGCTTCTTTGTGTTCTCTCAATACACTGAGAGCCACTCTATGCACATTGAAATAAACTTCCCAAACACTTATTAAATTCATTTCATCTTGATTATGCTGGGTATACCAATATTAAAAATAATTGTCCAAATGGAAATTTTTAACAGATTGCATTGTAGTTTCATTACCCAGATATTTCTAACTTTGTGAGAATGGTTGTATTATCTTCAGTCTGAAGAATTCTTTTAACCACCCTAAGTTATAATACTCAGGGCTTTCATGCAAACATTTGTTCAAAAATATTCTACTATTTTATTAGCTAGAATAACAGTAGTTGCAAACATATTGTATTGCTTTGAAAAATAAAGCAACTTTAAGTTTTCTTTCCTTAACAATCGAGAGTATTATCTTTATCACTGATTTCACTGCAATGTTGTAGCTAGATGATAGGTACATATCTAGCTGCACTAGTAAGATCTTAGCTAGACAATGCTCAATTAAGAGCAAATATATTACTTTAGATTTCTTTAGTAACATTATATTCAGTAGGTGACATACTGTTGCTTTCAACACTGCTCAGAGTTATGCCCTAATCTCCCAAAACAGTATTAAAGCACATGATACTGGATCAGAAAATGTGGCTAGTAATGTGACTTCATCATATTTTGGGCATTGGTCTAGTCACTATCTTCTCTCAAACTTAGAGTGTTCATCTTTGAAATGTACAAGGATAACAGAATCTGCCTCATAGAGCAATCATGAGGATTAAGTTAGAAAACATATGTACACCATTTCATAGGATTATGGCACATAGTAAGTGCTTAATATTTTAAGCTTTGAATTTGAATTAAATTTTTGTGTTTTTGGAACTAGGAAAAAACAATCCTAAAAATAATTTAGAAGAATAAAAAGACACGGAATAGCCAAAGCCAAAAAAGCAATGCTGGAGGTATCGCAATATCTGACTTCATATTATACTACAGAGTTATAGTAATAAAAACAGTGTGATGCTGGCATAAAAACAGCTATATAGATAATGAAACAGAATAGAAGACACAGAAACAACCCTACACAGATACAGTTATCTGATCCTTGACAAATGTGCCAAAAACCTATATTGGAGAAAACCTATATTTAACAAATGGTGCTGGGAAAACTGCTTATCAATATGTAGAAGAATAATACTAGATGCTAATCCCTCACCATGCATAAAAATCAACTCAAAATGAACCAAAGACCTAATCATTAGACCAGAAACTACGCAACCTCTAGAAGAAAACATAGAGTCAACACTCCAACATATTGGCACCGGCAGGAACTATTTCAATAGAACCCTTAAAACTCATAAAATATTACCAAGAATTAATAAATGAGATGATATCAAATTAAAAAGCTTCTGCACAGCAAAGGAAATGATTAAGAACGTGAAGAGAGAGCCTACAGAATGGGAGAAAAATTTTACTTGCCACTCTCTTGACAGAGTACTAATATAAACAACTCAAAAAACTTAACACCCAAACCAAAAATAACCCAATGAAATGGGCAATGAACAAAACAAACACTTCTCAAAAGAAGAAATATAAATGACCAAAAAAATATGAAAAAGAAAATGTTCACTGTTTTTAGAAATTAGGGAAATGCAAAGGAAAACTTTCCTGAGACTTTATTTCAAGCCGGTCAGGATGGCATCAGTCAAGAATACAAACAATAATAAATGCTGGAGAAGGTGTCGTAAGAAAAATAATGTTTACACCATTGGTGGGATTGTAAATTAGTACCATCTCTATGGAATTTAGTACATAGGTTCCTCAAAAGACTAGGAATGGAAGCATCATATGACCCAACTATACCACTTCTCGGTATTTATCCTGAAGAATTAAAATCAGCATACTACAGTGATACACACATACCCTCAGCAGTACAACACACAACAGCCAAAGTTGTGCCCAACTAGGTGTCTGTTAACAGATACAGAAAATGTGGCATATATGTACCATGGAGTTATATTCAGTCATAAAGAAAAATGAAATTATGTTATTTGTGGGAAAATGGATGAAACTTGAAGCCATTATATTAAGTAAAATAAACCAAACTCAGAAGGTCATGGGTCATATATTTTCTTTCATATGTGGAAGCTAGAGAAGAAAAAGGAAAAGAAAGTTCTCATGAAAATAAAAGGGAGATCAGTACAGTAGAAGAAAGGGATGAGGAGGAAGGAAGAGGGGAAGAAAAGGTAAAATACTTGAGAATAATATTGGTCAAATTATATTGTTGTATTTTGTGCAAATACACACATTTAACAACAAATTTCACTGTTATGTACAGCTATAATGCACCAATAAAAATATGGGAAAACTATGTGTTTTCATTAATTTTATTTCAAGTCTGTATTTCTGTGAATTAGGACATAGTATTAAAAGAAAAAGAACTTGATATTCCTGGAACATAGTGTACGGTTATTTTTCTCCTTCTTTTCTTCCAGTTTTTAATTTGAATCAATTTTCACACTTTTCTCCTTTATCTTCTTCCTAATCCAAGGAATTACCAATTAAGTATCATACATAATTCTTGCTAATATGTTGTGCTTACCTACTCGTTCCTTGAGAAGTTAGTGTTCTGAACATATCAGCAACCACAGGATTCCTTAGTCCAAAGTCTCAATTATCCAGAAAGGCTTCTTAAGATAATTAGATATAAGATCGATAATCTCATTTACTATATGTATCTAGGATTCTATAGCAAAAAAGCAAAAACAAACCAACAAAACTCTACCTCTAGAACATCATACTTAATGCCTTCATTTATCTTGATGCTTGCAAATAGAAACAATAAAATTACAATATATGAAATACTTTGAAACAAAAATACACATCATTGCACAATA